CAATTAAAATAGAAAGATAAAGGGAATAAGAAACACACACACACACACACACACACACATACTATATATACATCAGATAGAATATCTGAGTGTTCTGATGCTCAAGAACTGCTAAAGGGGGAAAAAGGGAGAGCAGAGTAACATATGCTGGGAGAAATCGGGACCTTAAATATGGGGGGATACTGTTCCTTTTTTAATATAATAAAGCAAGCCATTTTTATTAGAAAAAAGTCTGTAAGTTATAAACCCATTGTCATCACATGGGTTTGTGTTATAATAAAGGAAAGCTTTCTCGGGTTCATCATATTTAACCTGACTTTCACCTAGCCAAGGGCATGATAAGGCAGAATTGAAGAGGTAATCACTAGTTCCTGAGAGGGGCTGATGGCAAGACCGCAGTGAGCTTGGTATGGGGCGGGGTGGTGGGCTAGTGAGCTTGGTATGGGGCGGGGTGGTGGGGCAGCTGGTGGCAGCACTGGTGGAGAAAGAGGTTAGTCAGTCAAGCAACAGACATCCCCCAGTCCACTCCCTGGCAAGAACATGAAAATTACCAAATCTTTCTCTGGTTTTAGTTTCGCATACTTAAGAACTGATTTTCAAGACAAAGATATAAGCAGTCAATCTTATCTCAACCACAGAAAAACACATTGAAACAAGAACAGAAAAAGTCCTCACATACATTCACATACCACCACAATGTTGTATGCATCTTTATAAATGTGATACTTAAAAAAGTATAAAAGGATGACTCACTATTCACTGCAGGAGACAATACCCTAAAAGCAGGATGTCAGCTGCCCAACTTCCTTTCATAGCCTGTGCTCTCCTTTAGGGGGGAAGTGAAGTTGCATTTTACCAAAATTCCTGTTTGTCTAACAAATAAGCAAGATTCTTCTTTTGCGTTTGCTTGATCAAATAATCATTAGCGAATCTGATTGGACACCTGGTCAAATAAAATATGCATATATCTGAAACTTACCTTCAGGTGAAGAGCCTTGCTTTTGGGAAAAGACAGCATTGACCCTACTCTTCTTACTGATATCGCTGTTCACAGACAAGCTTGACTGAATCTTCCTGTGCATTTTTTGAGTAACAGGTGCTGAAAGTCTCCGAGTGTCTGCGGGCGCGCGTCTGGCCCCGTGGGGAATCCCGTTGCCATTGCGCAGACCTTGGTGGCACGCCTTCATCTTGCCTGTTTGCTCCTCACTCGGTTCCTGTGCGGAAGTGGCACGCTGAGGCAGGCGCTGAGGTTGGGCTAAATTAAAAAACGGGAAAAGTTTATGTGGTTACAACAGAAATTAATATTTGAAAATATCAAAATACATTCAGTAACAGGCTTTCTGGGATTTCACCCATGCTCCTCAAAATGAAGAGGAAAAGAAAAAGTAAAATATGAATAAACATGGACAGAATAACAATACATATTAAATGTAACCTAAATAATAAACAACATAAACAATAACAAATAAACATAGAGAAAGCATCCTTACTAAAAGGAAAAATGAGAAAAGGGCCCTCAAAAGTGACTTTACAAAAAGGCAAAAAGAAAAAGTGGTTTGTTTTTTTAAGCAAATTTAAGTTAGAATTCTGAAAACAATAACCCAACACTCATTCAACAGCAAAAGCGGATTGTTTTCTATGTACCAGGTCCTCTTTGAGAGCTAGAGACACAGAAGTCTCACCCTGCTATCCCTGATAAGGATAACGTACTCAATTATCTTTTGACATAAAAGAAAATGAATTCAGGTATTGAAGCTGGACAATAGTAGAGAAATATAGTTGTTTTTCTTTTTAATTCCATTTTAAACCCTGGAGAAGAACCCTGTTCTATCTTTATTCCTTAATTTCATTTTAAAATAAACCATTTATAAAACTTAGGAGTAGAACTTTCCTAATCTGATAAAACACATCTCCCAAAATAAAATGTCAACACATTAAAAGTGCTCCCATCTAGGTCACAACCAAGAAAAGAATGCCCACTTTCACCCCTCTTATGCAACATTACATTAGAGATCCTGCTGAAAGTTCTAAACACAAAAAAGAAATAACAGGTCTGAGTCCTGAAAAGGAGCAACAAAATTTTTGATACATGTATATAATATAAGAAAATATAAGCCTCGAAAAACTAAGAATTTAAGAAACTATAAGTCTTGAAAAACTAAGAATTTAGCAAGATATTTACAGGATCAATCACATTAAATCAATAAAGTTCCTCTATGCCAACAGTAACCAAATAGAATACAAGAAAAAATTAACTTTTTACAATAACAACAACTAAAATCCTGTAAGTATCTAGGAATTAAGCCAGGAAAAATGGGCATAGATTTTATAACAAAAATTATAAAACATTACTGAAGGACATAAACAAAAACCCTAATAAATGCTGAGAATATAAATATATTAATTCTGGTAATATGTTAATTCTCTCCAATTTATTTAGTGTATAATTGCCATAAAAATTCCAACAGACATTTTTATAGAACTTGACAAGCTAATCCAAAAGTTTATAAGGAAGAGTAATCAAGAATCATGAAGGAAATTTTAAGGAAGAAAAAGAGGATTGTGGGACTTGATTTACTAAATATAAAGTCATATTTAAAAACCCACCATAGCTAAAGCAATCTGGCATTGGTCCAGGCATAGACATATAAACCAGTGGAACGGCAGGAAGAATTCCTCCTGCGAGTATGTATGTGTGTGAGCAAGGTAAGTGCATGTATGCCTCATACAAAGAAATTCCAGATATAGTAAATACCTATACATGAAAAGTAAAGCTCTTTAGCTTCAAAGAAAAATATGAGGCTATTTTAATAGCTTGACACTAAGGAAGGACAAACTAATTTGACCCTTTGGATAATGAATCAAAACCAGCAGGATAACTTCCCATCATTTGTGACACTAGCATTTCTGAACACCCTAACAGATTCTGGTCAGTTCCTCTATCTCATGCCTAGACTCCTCTGCAGCTAGGAGGCAGATGTGTGACAGAAGTATGCTTCTACCAAGAAGTATACTTCTAGAAGACCAAGCAGAAGTATGATTCCCATGCAGAAGTGACCAAGGCGCAATTGCGGCAGCCACACCAGGGAGACAGTGAAAAGGGCACTTGATGGTCCTGGCAGTGGGTGTGGTCTGACGGCCACTTCCTAGCAGACCAGACAGTCAGCAGCATGATCCTTGGCTGTGTAACTCTTGGGAGAGTCTCTGTGCTGCTAATGCATTTATTATCTATTTAAGTTAGCCAAAATTAATTCTAGTTTTCGCAGCTAAGAGCCCTGGTCTCTCTCCAAAAGTTATGTGTTTATGCTGGGTAAGCAATGAGATTACTAAAATGAACAATTTACCTTGATTGCGTAGCTCCTAAGCAAAGCTATCAGTCATAGATAGCATTTCAATTAAAAACAACAGAACAACAAAAGCCATTCATTGTCAAAATTCACTATTTTATAATTTCCTGGGATTTCAAAATCTAAAACTGCTGTTTTAATTAGTCCTCTTTTCCATGTATGATTATGAATAGTTACAAAATGTAAATTAAATCTGAATATTAGAACTCTTCAATTTAGAAAACATATTGCATGCGAAGCCATACAGTTATACATGGCAATGGTGATGTCCAAAAGGGACTGATTATCTGTGACGTGGGGACTAGCGGAGACTGGGTATATATTTCTGACAAAGGAGACACTTTGCATTTAGCATGGTTTTGGCACACATTGTTTACCTCTCTTCTTGTTCACATATCATATGTCTCTTTAAGAAAAATATCAAAATATTCTACTCATGAATGTATACATTTCAAGAAAAAGACATTCATTTTATTACTTAAAAGGCATGCTTTCATACCAAGTGTATTAACATTAACACTTGATTTATAAAACTAATATATGCACACCTTTTAGTGTTTCAGTTTAGTAATAAGCAAAGAGTAATTCTCTAAAAATTAAATATTTGGGAAACCACAAAGTATGGTATAAAATGTATCAAAATATTTTGTTTTTCCCCTAACTCCTGATGAAAAGGAAAAAAGGAGAAAAAGTCACTTCTCTGTTAAAAGCAATATATGCCCTTGTCATCACTAAAATCAGCAACCGAGCATCTGCAAAAGGAGATCTATTTCTTGGGGTGAGCAATCATTTGATCTAGAGATGAATTTGCTGCTCCTGTAACTTCTTGTATCAACTAGAATGACACCCTAATGACTGCTATTGAAAATAAAGCTCATTATGCATGTTTATTGAAAAGGATGCCAAAGAAGACAGTTAAACCTAATTTGGTGTTCTTTTCAGAGCACTTTTCCAGTAACCTCACCAAATAAATGGAATGTGTTGGGTCACTTTTTCTCTGAAAAGAATAGTTGAAGAATCTGAGAGCTCGGCTAAGTTGAAATGTCATTGACCAATGCTGGGAGACTTCTTATCAATCAAAAATGTCTGGTCATATTCCATAATCCAAGATAAATTTAAATTTACCATGGAATAGTTAAACAGTCTTAATAAAAATAAAGGTGGTAAAAGACAACTATGTCTTGCCACCATATTCTAAAACTGACAGATCTGACCTTTTTCTACTATCAAAATTGACTATTTGCAAATTACTGGGTATGGCTGGAGTGATATTCAAACATATCCTTAATGATTTATCTACATATCAGCCTTCAAAATGGTATCTACTTCTGTTGGCAGATAAATGATAGTACATTCATTTTTGTTTCACTGTCACCTAATTATTTTTACTATCGTTTGTATTATGGTCAGGTAAGCAAGTACAATATTATCTCTACACTCCAGTTTTTGTTTTTTTTAACATTAAAACTTTCTTAGTTTTATGATTTTGTCAGATGCTTAAGTCAAATCAAAACTGAATAAATCCTAGATGTATTTGGTTATCTCAACAGACATTTATTTTAACTTCATTGATAATTTTTCATGGGTGTGACACGAATCTTACAGCAAAATTGCAAATAAAACCAAGTCGGAAACATGATTTTATTCTCAAATAAAGAACAAAAACATCTGACTCATTAAAACATAACTACTTGGCTCTAAACAGATTTCTTTTCCTTATTGTGTAAAAGTTGTGTATGGCTTTAAAAAAAAAACAGCATGCTAATATGGGAACGACACAATGCTTCTTAAAACACAAGTGATGCCTAGGGACCCTCACTCTCCCTTTAATGACCCACTGCTCTCATTCAGCTGTCTTTCTTTTTTCAAATCTTTACATATGTGACAGCTCTCAAAGTAGACCATACACCATCTGGCATTTTCAGAGGTGTAACTTGTGCAAATTCAGCTCTATTGGGAGCACGCTACCTTCGCCTGCCTTATAAAGGGACAATACAATGTAGAACTTATGAGTTGTTTTGAATTATTCATTTTTTTGCCTGTATATTCAAGAAATTTTACAAACTCTGCATTTTGTACTACATAATCACATGTGTTAAAGGTACAAAGAAACTTTTTGACACCTCTTTTCTACAGAAAGCTGGCATTTTGTTTGATATGTGAACATTCAGGCATCTGTTATATCATTCTAAACAGGATGGGTGCTTCTACAAAAGACCCCATTTTAAACTTACTCTATATGAGCAAAAAAATGTATTCTTGATATTCAGTAACGAATGCAATACACATCAAAATTTCAAATACCGTTATATGAACACTCAGCATCTTCAAATCTGGATAGCATTGGTCACCGCTTACCAAATGTGTAAGGAATTAAAAAAAAATCGTTGCTCATACAATGCAGCATGGTTGTAATTCTAATATCCATGATGAATAGCCACAAATGTCTTAAGAAATACTGTGCTTTAGGTTCAAATGTTTTCAATCAGGAAGGAAACCAATGAATTAGATCTAGCGATTTTCAATAAGAATAATAAATTGGGAGTAATGAGTCAATAGTATGAACTTCTTTTGATAATTTTTTATAAAACCTGGGTGACAATGTAGCTTAGTAATAACTATACTTTAACTGCAGCTGCTGGAGTAGCAGCATAAGCAACATTGTGCTAAAGCATCTAATCTGTGACAACGTGCAAATCATCTGCATCGTTGGTCCATTACATACATCAGATTTAATAAAATTACAGAAGAATTCTCATGCCATTTAGTCAGTTCAAATGGTTGTTGTATGCATACAAAAAATCAAAATGAAATGCCTAGGATTCAAAATTGTCAGTAACAAAATGATCTAAATAGAATATTGGCGGGGGTGGGGGGAGGTGAGAAATGACTTGGTAGAAACTGAAAT